AAAGGGGTCCAAGATATTTCAAAGATACCCTGATGCAGCAAGCCCTAGACTTGGTTTGCTCCATTGCTCTTTGAGCATCTCTCCAGATTGTAAAGTAAAGGTAAAGGGACCCCTGACCATTAGGTCCAGTTGTGCCCGACTCTGGGGTTGCGACGCTCATCTCGCTTTATTGGCCGAGGGAGCCGGTGTACAGCTTCCGGGTCATGTGGCCAGCATGACTAAGCAGCTTCTGGCAAACCAGAGCAGCACACAGAAACACCGTTTACCTTCCCGCCGGAGCGGTACCTATTTATCTACTTGCACTTTGATGTGCTTTCGAACTGCTAGATTGGCAGGAGCAGGGACCGAGCAACTGGAGCTCACCCCGTCACGGGGATTCGAACCGCCGACCTTCTGATCAGCAAGTCCTAGGCTCTGTGGTTTAACCCACAGCACCACCCGCATCCCCCCTCCAGATTGTAGGACCATGTAAATTTGTCTTATTCCAAGGAGAAAAAGCACAGGACTAGTACTGCCTGCTCTGACTGGCAGAAGTTCTGAAACCAGTGGCCTTTCACATATCCCTGCTAATGGATCCTTTTTGCTGGAGATGCTGTGGATTGAACCTGAGACCTTGTACATGCAAAAATGTGCCACTGACCGCCATCCTGCGCTTTTGAATGTGAATGAGCCACAGGGATAATTATGATCAGAGCCAAGAGCACACTGGGGGCTTGCTGCTGTGCACACAGTTATTTGCTGTACAATTAAAAAAAAAAAGTGCACTGTTTAGACATTATCATGTGCGTGCTCACATCTGTTTTGCCCAGAAACCTGGAAATATGAAACTGTGACTGTCCAAGTTTTTGCAGTTCACATGCAGTGGGACAGACACATGTGCGTCTTTCATATACGGCAGTAGCACATTTTGGACAAAATGACTCTTGAGATTTCTTGTATCTCTACAGTTCTATGATAATGTCTAGGTCAGCTTTTTCCGCACTCTGTATTTATCTGATCTTTTATTTTTGTTCAGTCTCGGGTCTGCCTGGGTGATATGTAGCTGTCTAAAGGCTTATATATACAGTGGTACCTCGGGTTAAGAACTTAATTCGTTCTGGCGGTCCGTTCTTAACCTGAAACTGTTCTTAACCTGAGGTACCACTTTAGCTATTGGGGTCTCCACTGCCGCTGTGCAATTTCTGTTCTCATCGTGAAGTAAAGTTCTTAACCCAGTGGCGTAGCGTGGGGGGTGCAGGGGGGGCCGGCCGCACCGGGCGCAACATCTGGGGGGGGGACGCTCGCACTCGCAGCTCTCTGCCCCTACCTGGCTCACTCACTCTCTCTCACTGCAGTGCTGGCTGTGCGAATCCGATCCGAGACGCTGGGTCGCCGCCCACTGTGGAGGGGGAGGGTGCCAGGCGTGCGGAGCGCAGAGAGACCGAGGGACTATCTAGGGGAGGGACAGTGCAGCGGCCGCCCAGCGCAGCGCTGAGCGCGGGAGAGAACCACACCAGACCAGCCCAGGCAGCAGCAAGAAGAAGCTGGCAGCGGCGGCAGGTTAGGGGTTAGGGGGCGCAAATTACTTGCCTTGCCCCGGGTTAGGGGGCGCAAATTACTTGCCTTGCCCCGGGTTAGGGGGCGCAAATTACTTGCCTTGCCCTGGGTTAGGGGGCGCAAATTACTTGCCTTGCCCCGGGTGCTGACAACCCCGCCGCTGTCTTAACCCGAGGTACTATTTCTTAACCCGAGGTACATTAGTCACATTAAGAGTAGGCAGACATCTTCGTGATACTGTTTTTGACACCTGCTGGGGAAAAAAATAATCTGTTTCAGCAAGCCTATCCCAGACACCATATTTGATTGCATTTGTTTTACAGTATATGTTTTCTTGATTTTATCTTTGTTTTTAGTGGTGGCTTTATGGTCTTAATCGGCTTTTGTATTTTAGTCATTTTTTTTTTATGTAATTGGACTAGTACACTGGTTTCAGATTTTATTTCAAGCATTTTATAAATTTTCTAGGTAATTTGATCCACTTGGGGTTGCTTGCTGTCCTGGATCTTAGGCAAACAACTTTGGGCTTTGTCCCCCCCCCAAAAAAAAAAGAAAAAAGAAAAAAAAGGCTGAACAATTTTTGGGGTGTCCTGGTTTTTACTTTTTGAATATGGTCCCTATGGAATTTTTATGGTCCAAAGGTCTCCTGAGTGTGTACCCAGGGGCTGCCAGTTTCAGCAGATTTTAGCTACCATGAAAAAAATTGGCACTTTTCTCCTTATCAAACAAGAATCGGAAGTTGTGGAGACAAGATGCCAAAAACATTGGGCTGAATCCAATGAAATCATTGCATGGATGGGATGACGTCTGCTTGTGCAACAGCCCCTTCCCTTCCTTTCCTGGCCTTGTGCACTTGCCACCCCACCAAATATGCTCCAGAGATTTGGATATTTGAACCCCCAAACCCAGGAGATGAGAGGGATGGGTACATACAATCCAGTGTAGGATTTTTAAAAAAATGCCGAGTCCTTCTTCCCAGCTTCAGTTGTGTGCTCTTTCCTGTAGGGTAACCTATTCAAAGCTAAACGATGTTCTTTGCACATCTTGCCACTGAGGCAGCTCTAACTGAACATCTAATGCGCACAGTTCTTGTCTATACATTTCATATGGCTTCTGCCAAGCACTGGAAGGTCAGAAGGAAATAGCAAGACATGATTTTTCCTGATGGGCGAGGATAGCCCTCTTCTGTATACAGTAGCTTGTTTTGGTTATATGAGACATACCTTTCTGTTTCTAATTTGAAGTCTTCAGTTCCCTATAAGGTCTCTTCCACCAATCAACACATAATTAGAAACTCTAGGTTATTTCACCCATCTTCCAAATCCTAGCCAAGTGTCAGTTACCAGGTAGCATGTTTAAATTGCAGGTAATACTTGACCATATGGGTAAAAGCTAACCCAATTATGTGCATTTTCATTCATTAGTCCCCATGCTAAGGAATCTATCATGGACCTATTATATAGTTACATTATAGGAACTGCTATGGATTATCTCAAGGCAACTTTGAACTTTCTAGGTCATTTTGTGCCCACGTCTGTGTTGCACCAGGGTCTCAAGTCTTATCATTCTACTTTGATTACACTACCGGCCCCGGGTCTTTCTTTGTTTTAATCAACAGTTCCTCTTCTTAAACCTTTTAATGGGATGGTTGGAAAAGTCGGCACTTACCTGCAAACCATTACTTGGTTGCAGCACCTAATATTTAATTTTGAGGGTTGCGCTAGCCAAAAAAAAAATGAAGGGTATGTACAAAGATGGCTGCGAATAATAAATATTGCGGTGCTTGTGTTAAGAGGGAATCTCTGATGGGGCACAAAGGCACGTATATACCTATGGATGTGCTTTGATATTCAGTGCCTCACAGATTGCATCTGATTGAGATGGATGATTGAGTTACTCTGGGTGACATTTGATGACAGGGAAAAGATTGCCATGCAACGTGCTTAAAGAATGTGTGTGGCTCACTGATTTGTGAAGAATGACGCAGGAGGGTGAAGCTGAGGATGAAGTGAGGCTAGGGGAGACCCACGTACCGTATTTTTCGCTCTATTGGACACAGTTTTTCCTCTCCAAAAATTGAGAGGAAATGTGTGTGCGTCCTATAGAGCGAATGCAGGCTTGTGCCATAGCCGCGCGCAACCCCTCCGGCAGGGAGAGGCTGCACAGGGCTATGGCTTCTTTAGCCCTGCGCAGCATCTCCCGGCAAGGAGAGGCTGCACGGGGCTAAAGGGGAAGCCAAAACAGCGAGCGGGATGGATCCCGCTCGCTGCCTTGCCTTCTTCCATAGCTGCGCGCAACCCCTCCGCAAGGAGAGGCTGCACGGGGCTATGGCTTCTTTAGCCCCACGCAGCCTCTCCCGGCAAGGAGAGGCTGCATGGGGCTAAAGGGGAAGGCAAAACAGTGAGCGGGATCCATCCCGCTTGCTGCCTTGCCTTCTTCCATAGCTGCGCGCAACCCCTCCGCAAGGAGAGGCTGCACGGGGCTATGGCTTCTTTAGCCCCACGCAGCCTCTCCCGGCAAAGAGAGGCTGCATGGGGCTAAAGGGGAAGGCAAAACAGCGAGCGGGATCCATCCCGCTTGCTGCCTTGCCTTCTTCCATAGCTGCGCGCAACCCCTCCGCAAGGAGAGGCTGCACGGGGCTATGGCTTCTTTAGCCCCACGCAGCCTCTCCCGGCAAAGAGAGGCTGCATGGGGCTAAAGGGGAAGGCAAAACAGCGAGCGGGAGCCATCCCGCTTGCTGCCTTGCCTTCTTCCATAGCTGCGCGCAACCCCTCCGCAAGGAGAGGCTGCACGGGGCTATGGCTTCTTTAGCCCCACGCAGCCTCTCCCGGCAAGGAGAGGCTGCACGGGGCTAAAGGGGAAGCCAAAACAGCGAGCGGGATCCATCCCGCTTGCTGCCTTGCCTTCTTCCATAGCTGCGCACAACCCCTCTGGCAGGGAGAGGTTGTGTGCAGCCTTGTACGCTGCTCTTTGGGGCTGGGGGGGAAAATATTTTTTTCCTTGATTTCCCCCCCTAAAAACTGGGTGCGCCCTATGGTCCGGTGCGCCCTATGGTGCGAAAAATACGGTAGTTCAGGAATGTAATCACAACATACAAAAGACATCACTCTTCCCCCTTTCTTAGTGACAGTTTGGTTCGTTGAGTTAAGTTGTTTTAAAGAGACAGTAACCTGAATTCTCAAAGCTTGTGTACCCTAAGAATGGTATGGTGCTTTTGCCAGTCATAATGTTTAAAGATCAGTGAATCAATCAATCAATCAATCAATCAATCAAAATCTGTTGATTTATAAAAGTCATTTATACAAAAAGTTTATTTAGAAAAGTGTGTACACAGCTGTAGTCACTTAGCTTCTTCTGAGTAGTGGTCTGATCCTGGAATGTTGATGATGATGATTTTAAATCTTTGTAACTATAAATAAAAAAATTAAAAAATTGTCTAGTAGCACCTTAGAGACCAACTAAGTTTGTTCTGGGTATAAGCTTTCGTATGCATGCACACTTCTTCTGATATCTTCAGTGTGCATGCACATGAAAGCTTATACCCAGAACAAACTTAGCTGGTCTCTAAGGTTCCACTTTGTAACTATAAGGCCTTAAGTTGTCGATCAGAGTTACCTAGAGAGAGTGGCATGAATTCAGAGTTTCCTCAAATGAGTGTTGAACTCATTGGGACTTTGCATCATGTGATGTTCTAGAGGGCAGGAAAATCTGAATCTGATATGTATTGATTCTGTAGCCTCCTTGCTGGGAAACTAATTAGAGAAGCTTTAACATTGTGTGTGTGTTGTATATTTGAATAAACTGGATATTTTATAAGCTGCATTTTGTCAACAGAATAATTTCCCTCCTGCCCCCATTTTACAGAGACAGTGGTTTAAGTTTTGCATCCTTTATCATCTCAGTGAACTATAAGAAGTGGTGCAAGGTAAATCCCAATGAAAGTAGCTAAATGAGATCAAACACAACCTTCACCACAAAATTCAGCCTCCCTTGCAATGATGTTCTTAATAAGAAGAGCTAGACATGCTTCCAACATAAGACAATGTGTTCTAGTTCTGGAATTCCACAATGGCTAAATTAGGCAGAAATCCTGCTCTGGCTGATGCTGACTTCAATATCTTTGCAGTGTGGAACCGATGCACAAAAGAGACCGAAACTCAAATTCCAAGTCCAGGAGAAGTTACGCAGGCAATGACATTGGTTTGCAGCAAAATCAGAAGCCCTCGCTTCTCCTCTGCTTCTCACTGCAAATATTTTGGAATGCAAGTCTGGCTACCAACAGTCAAGTCGGGAGCGACTGATGGGCCCATTAATGCATGTTAATGGCAGCTACAATGTAGCATTGTTCAGAATTTTCATTTATCGTGGTGGAAGCTTTACTGCAATGCATCCTGCCAAATTGCACATATTAATCATTTCTTCCACCTTAGTTGTGGTCCATTTGCGATAAATGGAGGCTTGGAGGCATTTAATTAAGGATATATTTTGAGGGACATTTCATTAAGTTTATGTTCAAGTGTGTGAGTGTGTTATGTGCTCGGGAGGGCCTTTCTTGCAATACATTTTGTGTGTGAATTGTTGAGGCTTAGAAGGTGCTTAGCTTGTCTCCAGCTCCCCCCTTTTCCATCATAGGTAAGGAGGTTGTGAGAGAAGTGCCTTGGTAGCGGATCTACAGACCTGAATTTTCTAAATAAGCTTGCTCAACAGAAGAAGAGTTTGGATTTGAAGAAGAGTTTGGATTTGATATCCCACTTTATCACTACCCTAAGGAGTCTCAAAGCGGCTAACGTTCTCCTTTCCCTTCCTCCCCCACAACAAACACTCTGTGAGATGAGTGAGGCTGAGAGACTTCAGAGAAGTGTGACTGGCCCAAGGTCACCCAGCAGCTGCATGTGGAGGAGCGGAGACGTGAACCCGGTTCACCCGATTACGAAACTACTGCTCTTAACCGCTACACCACACCGGCTCCCATAGATTCATATGGGAGAAACCCATAGATTGATATTTTGCAAACTTCTAGTAACAGATGCTGTCATTTTATGGCCTCGTTTCTATGTAACTCAGTTATTTTTTAAAGTAAATAAATAACTTTAATCAGCAGTAGCCAACATGGTGCCCTCCAGACGTTGTCCGACCACAGCGTCCATCTTCCTTGACCATTGTCCATGCTTGCAGGGGTTGATGGGGAGTTTGGCAACATCTGCATGGCACCCCATTGGCAACCTCGGCTTTGAGTATTTTCAGCTCAGTAAATAATAAATTCAATTTACCATAGAAAAGTTTTGTCACTTAGCAATGCTCTCTTGGAATAGATATTTCTTAATTGGCATCAATGGAAAATTTCCTGGGAAGCATAACAAAATGGATCATTTAATAGATGCCCAATCTCTCCATCCATCCATCTATCTATCTATCAGTGCAGCGCATGATGTTTTGACTTTAATATGGTAATTATCTCAGGCTGGCTTCAGAGCAGGAAGCTGCCACCCACACAGCAGTGCTTAATTACTTTAGACTTCAGCTTGCCAAGTGAAAAATTGACTGTTCTCCCCCCTCTCCCCCCACCCCACCCCCGAAACGGTATGGAATGGAAATGATTTTCATTGTCATTTCAGTTGAAATGCAACATGACGTTATGGGGGCATCATGGGAAAGAAATGCAAAATCTGCCCCCCCTGAAATGCTTAAGATAGGCTGAAAATGTCTGTTTTCCCCCTTCCAAAACCGATTAACGAAGGTCCAGATTTGCATTCTCTCCAACTTCGCAATGAACTGCTTCTTATTCTAGGATGACCCCCCCTCACCTTCCCCCAATGGAATAGATTTAACTTTGCACATCAAGATGTAGAAGTTCTGTAAAGTTGTCATAAGCCCATGCCATCCCCGGTGTGTTTTGAGGGCACATGACTGGCTAGGAGGAACGCTCGCTTAAAATGCAGCTTAAAAAGGATGTCTGAGAGTGTAGCTAATTTGGTGAAAGGTGTAATGAATGAAAGCTCTGATTCTGGCAGCTTATAAAATAGAAGTGTTTATCTTTTGTCAATGGCAGGCTTCAAAAACAGTGGTATTTGTTAAACAGGGTGAAATCTCTCTGTGTGAAAGCATCCTTGTGCATGCATATTTCTTCAGCATTTGGAAGTATTGCTTTTATTACTGAAAGCCATGGAAATCAATAGAAGATTTTTACGTACGTGTTTTTAAGTATGTGGTGCAAATTGATTTGACACTCCCAAATTGAAAGTAATAGGTCCAACTGAAAAGTTGTTTACAGAAATTCCACACCTCTCACTGTCTTATAATTCTGCATCCAATGACATTGATAGACATTTTGGGAGGGCTTATTAATCGTTTGTCTTTAAGCAAATCAATCCGCAGTTCAATCAATTTCTTAACATTCTGCATATTACCAAATCCTCATATAGGTGCCTTTTTGAGATACTGGAAAAGAATGATGATTTACATTGTGCCATGTGCTCATTGTCAATCCCACCCTGCCAATTTCCTATCACAGCAATAAAATAGACCCAAAACAGCATCAAAAATGTAAAACAAGTACACTCACAATCTGACTCGCTACATTATCCCTCCCCAGGCAAAATTGGAGAGGCATCCAGTGTTGGCCCAGGACACTTTGACACCTGAAGCAGAACCCAAATGATATCTTCCCCACTTCTTCTTTCCCATTTTTTATTTTGTTCGAGCTTCTTACATATGTTAACAGGGTGCTTTTATCTGACCAAAGCAACTCAATTCATAAGCAGTTAGGGATGGAGGAGAAATTAGATTCTGTCTGCATTTAAAGGCAAACCTACCTAATTTGAACTTTCTAAAACAGCCCACAAACGGAAGCACAACCATCTTTTGAAATTCACACTCCTGCGTAACATTTAGGTTGGATGGGCTTGCAGGTGGTGGGTGGGGCCAGCGGCAAAAGGGGGTGGAGCAACGGTACTATTACTAGGGGCAGAACCTTTAGTGAGGCAAGCTCAGCCCAGTGCAACGCTCTCCCAGCAGAAGTTGAGCAAGAACCACTGCTCCCTTCCTTCAAATGCCTTTTGAAAACTGTTTTTGCTCAGACAATTCTCTTTTTTTAATCCAGTCAGTATTTATTGATGTTTTGTTGATATTTCAAAGGCTGCTTTTGTGGTTTACCTTTGTTGATTGTTAATTAGACATTTGCAAATCAATCAATCAATCAATCAATCAATCAATCAATCAATATCCATCCTACGGGGCATGGCTAGAGAGGGGTGGTGGTGTAGGGAGGATCCCAAGGGGCCAGATAGAGAGCCTTGGAGGGCCATATTTGGCCCCTGAGTCTGAGGCTGCCCGTCTCTGATCTTGTACACTTGCCCATTCAATTTTTATTACAATAGCCATGGTGCTTGGAACAGTGAATTGTCCAGCACAGGTACTATTGAGGACTAGTAACTTCCCACCACAGCTTTCTGTGAATAATAATAATAATAATTTTATTATTTATACCCCGCCCATCTGGCTGGGTTTCCCCAGCCACTCTGGGCGGCTCCCAACAGAGGACTAAAAACAGAATAAAACTTCAAACTTCAAAAACTTTCCTAAACATGGCTGCCTTCAGAATCATAGAATTGGAAGGGACCCTGGGGATCATCTAGTCCAACCCCCTGCAATGCGGGAATATTCGGCTGTCCCAGAGTGAATCTGCACAGAGGGGAAAAAACACACTGTAAATATGTAAAAAATGAAAGGGGGGGGGAAACTATGGAAAATTGCTCAGATATTTTTTTTTGCTCTCCAGCACTCTCTGGTGTTGTGTGTTTATAATGCATTCAGAACGCTGTTCCTTGACTAATGTAGCTGAGTCCCCATACTAGGGACTGAACCTGGAACTTGCACCATGCTCTAACCAACTGAGCTATCCAGGTTTGCCTGACTTGGTATGCAAAGTTCCAGGCAGAAACAATGGAAATGTGCCTTTTATCTGCTCACGTAGCAATTACAACAGCTCTATTTAAAACCATATCCTCTCAGTTGATGAAATTGGACTCATGTACAACAGGATATCCTGACTTGGCAGGAGAACTTGGGCATTCGGGTCTGGCCTTCTCAGCAAAAGGCTTGTGGGAGAGGAATGTACGCCCATCCCAATCACACCCCATAATAAATCCATCTGCTGCCAACATTCCAATTAAAATGCTTCCGTTGCAATGAGAGGAATCAATATACCCCAGTGCTTCTTTTCCCTTGAAAAGGTTTCTTAATCTCTTACCCCCACCACTCCATTTTAAAAAGCATCTAGAAAGATGTTTGAGAGAGAGACATATTCGACGCATTTCCTCCCCCGCCTTTCCACTTTCACACAAACTTTTCAAACCAGAGGAATGTGGAGAAGCCTTTTGGAATAAATCTAGTGACCCTGGGGAGTTTACAAATACTAGCATATTAATATACAGCTAAAATAATAATAAAAAACACCATGCTGCTAAAGATGTTTAGTATTATCAGCTCTCTGCAGGAGTTTATTAGAAACTCCTGCTTTCTTTTATTAAAATTTCAATTGGCTCAGTGAATG